GTTGGAAGCTAGCAGATCTGGCACAGTTGCGCCATCAGTGGCGTCCATGCACCTAATCGATAAATTTCTATCCCGATTAAGTTTACGTACCACTGTCCTTTTATTTGCTTACAAACTTATTTGTTTACTGATAATCTGGCAACGTTCATCGCATCACTGCGGAATGGGAATCCCGGATTAGGGACGAGCAAGCAGGATTACACCCAAAACGGGGCAGTAAAGACCAAATGTTCACTCTGCGGCAGGTGCAAGAGCAGCGACAATAACTGTGTTCCTCCACTTTAAGAATGAGTTCGATCTAGTCGATCGATCCGTTCTGTTCGAAATACTTGTGCGAAAAGACGTTCCCATGAAATATGTCAATATTTTACGTGCCCTGTATTCGAACACCACATCAGGGTCTAGGTTGACTCATCGGATATATTTTCCAACAACAAGTGGCATTCATAGAAATTGCCCAGTTTCCAAATTTTTGTTTAACTTCGTCGTGGACTCCATCATGGAGTGTTTCCGTGCGGAATCTTACGATGCAGAAGTTGAGGTGCTGCCTGGTGAAAAGGTAGTTGAGCTTGATTATGAGGAAGATATCATCCTGCGGTTTAACGATGTTGGGACGGCATAATCAACATTGAATAGCCTCTCTAGAGTGCTCCCATTATTTGGTATGCCCTTCACATCTTCAAAGTGCAGTGTTGTTATAAGATCACCAGCCACATGATGACGCGTTGATCCAAGGTGTAGGCGTCTTGATCCTGGAAGTTTGTTTAGGGCGTTAAGGTTTTACCCTAGGTCTCCCTTCTCTACCTTTTGGCATTCTTCGTTTCGTAGGACACCGTGGTTGTACTGCAGCGAAGCAGCAGTTCAAATGACGGATGTACTGCTGCTAACGTGAATCATGGCAAATAGATCTACCGCATTACGTGGTTGTTCAAATGAATTGATCAATCAGGGTCATAACTGTTTCACAACTAAAGCAGCTAGAAAAGTATCATATTTTGATCTTCGGGAGGGCAGCCAGTTGGGTCCAGATCGAGGTGTACGTTAACTGACTCACTAGGATGAACTCATGTCGAGATAAGGCAACTCTGTCGCCCAACCGAGGTGTTCATGAAAGTATACGTGGGTAAACAGTAATGAAAAGTGCATCGGCTTATGTTAGTTGTCTGAACATTGTAGATCTGTCCGAACTGTGTCCCTCGATACCAAAAGTGTTTACGATTCAGTGGGTCGATATGCTCTCTGGAAAGGAGTGCCCGAGAAACACGTGAATATTATAAAAGCGGCTTAGGTGCCCAGCTCAGGCAGAGCGAGGATTTATGGCAATCTGTCACAGCCCTTCAATGTTTGCTGTCACCTAACCTTATCAACTTCGTTAATGAGGACGTTATGCAAACTGGGTTCAACGGACTAGACTTAGCTGTATAGATGATTTTAAGTGATCGGATTCTAGAATTGAAATACGCCTACAAAATTGACAAAGACTATGATTACTCACAAACCTGCGGAACAGCATTGCACGTCAATAGTTCCGGGTTGCTTTACACCCTCAAAGTACCAGGGGTTCCTCCAGAATTAACAGGGACCACTTCCTGCGATGACCCATGGTGGGACGCAGATAGACGTCGCTCAAAAATCCAGCTACATGGACAGCTGTATCAGCACCTGTGGTATGGATAAAACCGAAAATCATACAGGAAGAATTTGAGACGCGTTCGTTTATTTTCGTTACTTATGACGCCAGTGCGATAGCACCCACACTCTGAAAGACCGTCAGAATTGATGTCATACCAAAGGTGTCTTCGATTCATAAGTTTGACCATGTACAGTCGTGAAACCTGCCAGAGGTGTTCGACCACTATTGCCTTCGTAGTTTGGGGAACATCACATGCGTAATGTGTGTGTGCGCTTTTCTGTTTATGGCGCAGGAAGAGCGAGTGAACCGCTCAGATGACTGGAGTATGTGTAACATATGTCAATACGCCGTGTGGTATCGGCGCGGTGGCTGCTGCTGCGCAGAGCCTATCGACTGCTCACATAAGCAAGCGTGTGTCCGTCTACTGTTTAAACCTTTCACTGATTGAATTAATTTAAAATGCATGGCCAGTGAGTTGTACAGAAGGCCGGTCAGAGCATAGTTCGCTTGCAGTCAGGATGACGTATTTTGTCTTGGGCCGCGTTAGCTACGAGCCGTTGAAGCGTATCACACGTACTAGACTGTAACACGCCGAATTACGTACGATGCATTGTTCGCGGGTTCGGGAAACAGGTGGAAAAAGTGGGTAGGCTACCTGTTGACTTCCTAGGGAGGAATGAAGGTTTTCACCTCGAACATTGATCTCGATTGGGGCGTCCCGACTCCCCAGTTGGAGTCCCGAAGACAATGAACAGTTTGTTTGTTGTGAGACACTTGTTGACATGGCTAATAGTACAGCTCAGTGGCATTTTATTTTTTCCGCCCATCTCCCGCCTCCAAACAAGATCTAATTGTTGACACAAAAGAAAACAAAGCATGACATTACCTGGGTTGTTTTTTTTCTCTTACGATCAGTTAGATGGATTTGCATTTCGGCACAGAATCTGAGGTGCCTCTTATCTCTAACTGACGCGTATAATGATGAGTTTAGATGAAAGCAGCACATGGCTGCTTAGACAAGCATGCAACTGAGCGATTCGCAGCACAACTGTGTGAGGCTTAGTGGTCGACGATGACTAGCAGAATCAGCGAGGCGATGTAAAGATCTCAAGGGGGGTGTGCTGTCGTGGTAAAAAGACAGCAATGTCTGTTACTGTGCCACTCGTAATAAAAACGGATAAGAAGGAACACAGGCATGCTGTGACGGGACTAAGCTTCAAAGTAGTGTGGTAGCCAGCGAACCCCCAGGATCTGTGAGTCACGCTATGCCAATATCCAAAAGCTCCCAATGCGGCCAGGGAGAAGCAGTGCGGCTTCTTTCGTACTCGGTGATCGAAGGGACTGAGACGTCTACATTGTGATCGAGAGATCAACGGTTCAAAGCTGTGTACGTGCAGACGTTGCAGTATCCATAGCTCTGAGCGATTGATGGTGGTCGTGAAGCATCGATGCAGTGCACTGCTGATGCCATATGTGTTTTCGTTTTGCAGTACGAGGCAACTGAAATAGGGGCCCTCGCTTTGGAATGGAGGTGGCATTGTGTATTTCCAACTTATACTTCTTTGCATACACATATTTCCACCATGTGTTCGAATAGCTTTCCACTGAATCGCTGGGTGCTTCGACGTCATTTCAACATACGGATTGCGGTGTTCTTAAAATGGTTCAGCGATGTAGATCGTACACTATATCGGTCGCTTCCACCTAATTCCACCTTGTCCTGTGCTAAATAATCCAGCAAAAATGACAAGATCTAGCGGTTCTAGTGATCGTATGGACAAAGGTTAGCCTCAAAGTAAATCGTGGTCCAAATCAAGATTGCGTGCCGAAATCGTGACACACGGCGGGTACTCCAAGAACCAACGATGAATATTCGGCTTACTTTTCGAGGCATCAGGACAGATCTTGGCAAGGCACCAGTGTGATGGGAGTGTCCTGTCAGAGTGAACGGATGGATCAAATGAACGAGCTAGACAAGCAATGGGAGACGGACACGACGGATTCGATCGTTGGACACGAATTGGCCGATGTTCGTGTGGGTTCCAGACCGTCTAACTGAGTCAAAGGAAAAACACCATCACCTCACAGAGGCCGTTAGTTATGGAAGTGAACGGACATCTTATATTGAGGAGTTTTGCGTGCCAAAGATGCTGTAATTGCCATCGACTGTAGTTGACAGCCGAATAAATGCTTTCTAATGAAAGGCTGAGCTCTGTTGGATTCAAAACCATGCCCGTATTCACGGTGGACTATTAAGATGATTATTTTGAGATTAAGTTACTCACCATTATGATCATAGAAGCAGTAATCAACAAACGCAGATGTCAATTCGCGCGACACGGTAGACCGGAGAAGCTGGTCTCCGACCATGGCCTTCCGTTTACCAGCGCTGCGTTCCAGGCCTACGCAACCAAGTGGGAATTCGTGCATTAGCAAACCAACCCAGATCAGTGCCAATCAAATGGAAAAGCGGAGTCAAAAGTGAAACAAAGCGAGCGACTGTTAGCAAAGGCTAGAGCTACTCACGAAGACCAGAAGAAGCGCAACACTCTTTCAACGGAGATCGATTTGAGTTCAGTGCAATGCCTGTACAGCTGAAGGACTAGAACTCTGATGTTGGCATCTGCCACATTTGTATGCCAAGTCTTGCCACACCATGAAAGTTTACAGAATGGTTTGGGATGACGACAGAAACGATACAGCGACTGCGGTGCACAAGTACTAACTGAGCTGACAGTAGAGGAGAATGTATGGGTTCAGCCAGCACCCGATGGTCAAGAGCGGTGGAGGGATTGTTGGGAACGCCTTCAGCGCAAGATCATTTAAAGTAAACGTTGGAAGGCAGCCGCTCAGAAGAAGAGTGCAGTTAAGACGATACCGGAGACAACAATGTGGATTAAGATTGGAATGTCCTATAACGTGCGGCAAGGAGACTACTGCGGCAGATACAGCGAAGACGACGCAGAATGGCAAAGTGTACGGAGTGCCTAGCAATGTGGCGGGGGGGAGAACGTGATGAGAGTGTACTGTCAGAGTGCACGGATGGATCAAAAAGAGCGAGCTGGATAAGCAATGGAAGACGGATATAACAGACTCGATCGCTGGACACGGATGGACCGATGTTCGTGTGAGTTCCTTATAGTTTGTTTAACTAAGTCAAAGAAGGAACCACATCGGTGCACAAGGATCGTTAGTTATGGAAAAGGACGGACACTATATATCGAGGAGTTTGGCGTGCCAAACATGCTGTAACTTTCGCAGAGTTGCAAGACTGAGACCTGTAACACTAGAAGGACCCATTGCAAACTATGCGGAATTAGCGCCTATCCGGCCCAGTGTACAGAGTTCTCAGATAATAGAGAAGGTAGACGTGGTACATAAGTGTTTAGATTAAAACATCTAAGAAGCAATTAGAATAGAGGAAATGGGATCGAAAATAGGTTCAAGTAGAGGACACCAAGCGGACAAAAAGTGGGTAGATGCAGATAGAGAGACGGTGTGGGAGCCCTACTTCTTCAATTCGACAGCCTTCTTTCGTGGCTTGGGACGTTGAACAACTGGAGTGGGAGGATCCGATTTAATTAGATTTGAGTGTATGGCAGAAGAAACTTTTTCATCAGGAAAATCTCCAATTCGCGCGTTCTTATGATCGGGCTGCGAGGCGAAGATTAGGGTAGAGAGCGTCAAATATACCAAGGTGGACTAATTCAAGAAACAGTGGCGAGGAATAATGAAAATACCCCACATCCAAAGACTAGAGAGATACTGAATAAGCTCTGTTGAGTATACTGCCACTGAGTAAAAGAGGCAATGACCGGAAGATGTGAGCTTATAAATGAAAATCAAAGGAACGGGTGTCGTAAAATACAGGGGTGGACGAAAAAAGCACGCTATAGTAGTGCAATGTTTGAAGTTGGCCTGTTGCCGCTCATGGAGGGTGAGATGCGTGTCCCAATGGCGCTCGAAAGAAAGAAAACTGAAGGATAAGCCCGAATGAGGACAATGCGTGGTTCCGCAAAATATGGCATGAACTGATGTAAATGGAAGAGCTATGACAGCATGCAATCAGTCATTGGTCATGCACTCAAATACTGACAAGGGATGCTTAAAGGCCTCGAGTCATGCAGTGCTGTCAATCAATAGTGATCGGAAGTACAACCAGGGGTATGTATGCGCAACAGTCGACTGGCTATAGAGAGAGCGATTAGTGGTTGGAAGCAGCAAGTAGAGTTGGCTCTGTGCAGCTGCATCTAATGTCACTCAGGGACAAAGACCCGTTATGTTATGTTGCGCTCAATATATTTCGCGTCGGTAAAGTGTTTGTTCAGGAATTTCTTAAATTACGACACCGACTTTGCCTCAACTACGTGCTGCAGCAAGTCGTTCCATACATTCACCACTCTGCGTTCGAAACAGAGTTGGTGAGCGACCCGTTTCAAACCCGGTATGACAAGCTTGTACCGGTGTCCTTGTGTGCTGCTTAGTGTGCGCAGATGAAGCAGCAGTCTCAAGATGGGGTAATCTCCCAGATGTAATATCCGGTGCGTCATGATGAGGTCAACCCGCAGCCGACGATAAGCTAGGGTGTACAGCCCTAGTTTCCTACACCGGTCTTCGTACAGCACACTTCGTAAGTTGGGAACCAGCCTGGTGGCTACATGCTGCACTCGCTCAATCTTTTCTACCTCGCCGGTGATAGGACAATACGCGGGAGAGCCATACTCTAGCATTTGTCGTATTATCAGAAGTCAGGGTAAGCGAACATATGTTTTCGATAAGTCATCTTCAGGCTTATACACTTATATGCAAATCAAAATGTACAGACAGACATTACAAGTCGTTACTACTGGAGCGAGTTAATTGGATGCTGACAGCGCTGTATGTTAAGCCACGACAGTCGACCTTGTGTGACCTCGTGGGTCAGAGGTCACCAGCCGTTTGGGCCAGAGCAGTCCCAAGCCTTTAGTTAGCTTCTTCTGAATACATAGCTCCGGTTCATACAGTCTGATCGCGATTGCTTCAGCGGCTTCTAGTAGTCGCTTACGGACGTAGTTCGAGCGGTGCTTTGGGGCCTGATAAATAAGTTTGAATGAACCAGTGAACTTTGTGGCGTGCTCTGTATCAGCTAGATGTGCAGCTATTGATGAGTTCGCTGTATTTCTACTTCCAGTTCTAAGCCCGACCGGGTGGTGTTCCTTCATTCTCTCAGATAGACGCCGTGTCGTACGACCAATGTATTCCGCTCCACAGGAGCATGAAAATGAGTAGATACACATTGAGTTGGTGTGGACAGGCCTCTTATCCTTTGAGTTTAGTCTCACCATCGGAATGCTAGTGAACTGGATTTGCATCTGCGCTGCTGGATAGGTGCGTCTGAGTGCAAACGTATTATTGAGCCGAAGAGGCGAGTGGCAATCTCTTCGGACCAAGTGATGAAACTGCGCCTGACAGCCCAAAGCATCCGAAGGATGTTTTGATAAAGCCTATTCGTGTTGTCCATGGACTTTAGGTCGTAGCGTGAGAGTACACCGAGGTGGCGCACGAAAGGCGCGGGATGCAACGTGCAGGTTCAACTGTGCTCACACTTACCCAGCCTCATGAATTGCAACCTGACGGGGATGATCGGAAGATTGACCTCTGCAGACCACGTGGAGAGGCGTTCGAGGTCCTGCTGAAGCAAATCACAACCACTGGGTGTGCGGATTACCCTCCACACCTTCAAGTCATCTGCGAACAACGCAAAAGGTGATTGGAGTAGCAGAGGCACATCATTTACATGGATGAGAAACAAAATCGGCCCAAGTACAGTGCATTGGGGCACGCCTCTGCTCGATGGATAAGAGTCGGTTAAATGGTTGTCCATCTGGACCCTCCACTTTCGATCAACAGGGGAATTCCTAATGCATTGGCGCAGCGAGCAACCAATACCGCAGACCCTCAGCCTGTCGAGGAGCACTGCATGATTTACCTTGTCAAAAGCCTTACTGAAGTCAATGTAAATGATGTCGACCGATTTGCCTTGGTTCAGCGCTTGTAACCATTCGTGCCTCGTCAACAGTAGGTTGGTGATGCACGAGCGATCTTTCACGAAACCATGCTGTGCGGGCGTCAAGAGGCTTTTCGACTAGAGAAGCTGCAGAAGACCCTTCTTCACGATCTTCTCGAGCGTCTTTGCCAAAACGGCGGTCAGGCAGATCGGCCGGTAGTTATCGACTTTGCCTGGGTTACCACCTTTCGGTATTGGCTTTACGACTGAGCATTTCCAGTCGCCCGGTAATATTCCAGTGGATAGGAAGTCGGGGGTAAGTATGTAAGAAGAAAAGTATGAACCCAGTTCTCACACAAGGACATAGATTCCGGTTACCCCATCTATCTTACGGTTCCATGATGAAGGCGCACACGAAGGAACCGCACACGGAAATTGCGGAAAGCAAAAAGCGCACAGACATAAAAGAGGACACGGAAGAATGCGCACACTAAAAGTAAACACATATTATCAACCTTGTCTCATTGTCACAAGTGCCGATATTATCTGGTTGCAATAATTACAAGATCTAATTTTTGGCCTATGCCTTCCAAAGTAGCAAATTGTGATAATTATGGCATTAACACCAAAGGCGTTCGTTAGTTCGAGCACTGGGAAGGTACCGTACTGCGCAGTGTTGCAAAATCATCTACGGAACTACATCGACTAAGCATCGCTCGTCTACCGCAGTTAGTCGAGGTCTCAACGAATCGGCGGCTGAAACCCACTGGCTTTTAGCATGCCGAATTAATGTTCCACCTTCCTTTGCCATGTTTTTGAAGACGTTGAAATCGAAGTCGGATATTTTCACTTAAGCCACAGCCCTATAAGGAACGTCAGCAAAGTGGGCCTAAAGACTTCCTTTGAAATCGGTCATTCGAAAAATCCAACTGAAGCCTCTGGCTGCATTGACCAGTGTCCCGGTCGTTAATATAAGTGGACCGTTTGATGATTTTTGCGCCACATTTCCAAATGAAGAATCGTGTAATACGGCGCTCACATGCCTCTGCACGTATAGTTGCGAAACAACCCAGGGCAACCAGTGTACTTTACTTAAAACTCACATTAGGAATCCACGTCGCAAAAAAGTGAGATGAGGGGCAGCCGCCCTGGTAGTGACCATGAGACATGGAGACTTCTCTGCGTTACCGGAATGAACGTCACCCCACAGCCGCTCATACAACGTTGCATCTGGAGGGAATAATTGGACACATCTCCAACACGGGCCGATCTTCTGATTGGACTGCATTTTTCCGCTCCACCACCTAACTCACCAAGACACAATGTATGAAGGTGCTTCAATCAAGCTAGACATAAGCGTGATTGTTAGAACTTCGGTATGCACTTCGTAGCAGACCATTTTTCGAGCTCTGACTCAAGGCAGCGTCTTCTAAGCAACCAACAGATATGGCAAACTGAGTCACACTTTGGAAGGGGAACAATTCAGATGGCATCACTCAGCCAGCCTGTGAAATTGGCGGTTACACCCCAATCCTTAAGCACGAGATTGTTGAGGACACAAACTCAGACGCCAGAATAAGATAGAAAAAACGATTAGTAGCCGACCACTCGGTGGCCGGCGCAACCTCGCATCCAATGCACACGTGACCCGACTCACTACTGATATCAGAGGTATCATACTTTATGAATGAAACCTGGTTCCGCGCACAAATTACCAATGACGAAGTCGCGATGAAAGGGATGCCCTTATTCACAAAGATGGCAAACGGAAACGGACTACTTATAAGTTTGAAAAGCCCGAAGGCTTAAGGTGCACCTTAAGCTTGTCTAGTTGCACCCGCTGTTAGCCATAGCTATGCATATCGGTTATTCTTAATGGTACTGAGGAGACAATACGTAGTGCATGCATCTACCAGCCTTAATCTTCTTGTCTCGCCTTTCAAATTGTTGTAGGGAACTAACTACTTGTAAGTTGTCAGTACAATCATCCCAACACACGAATTTGCAACTGTTAATCGGCAGGTGTCGGTTTTGTTTGCGGCCGCCTTAGTGACAATGTCGTCCGTTCATCTGAGAAGTCTTGATTCTGTGACGAGAAACACTGACAAGCGACCAGTTGAGTCGGTATCTGGCGAATACCTAGACAGGAGCGCAACCAGTTATCCCGTAGCACCATAGCTTTAATTTGAGTCCGAAATGAGGAACGATATGGAAGGCTATCGAAATGCTTACGATCCCTCGTACAGCCGCGGCGCGAGCTGATACTCCCCCAACCCTAGTACGCAAGAATCACCAGTGCCGTTTGAAAGTGGTACCACTTATTTACGCAAAAAGTATGAGTGAGTATTCATGCGTTGATCTGGACTGCGTTTTCATCAATGAAATGCGCACTTGGAAAATTATCCACTTAAGCAACGCGAAAACGGGATAAGTACTCGTTAAAAAGATTTCGAATTTAAAGAGACGGAACGTAGGTTGAAATATAATGGTACAGGATTTGTTCCCACGAGTACAACTTTCCGTTGAGTGCAAATAGCGTAACGCTAGGTTTAACGCCGACAGGAACAGTAAGGGTAATTATTGTACATTAGGTAATCTTCGCAAGTATTTAGGCCGGTCTCCCCTTGATGCGTAATCTCAAACATAAGAAGCAAAGACAGCTTTCAAC